GCTGTACGATGTAGTCTGAAGAATAATCATGTTTTTACGGTTATCATGTCTAATGTAATTTAGAACAACAAGCTTTATATTATCTATGCGACCTCTTTTGGGAGCATAAATAAGACCTCTTCCTATTTTGGGAGCATTTGTGCGACTGCATGTAATGGTTGTAGTGCGACCTGTTTAGATTTTTTTTCTAAAAACGTGCTGAATCAGTCTTCTCTGCCTTTATTTTGGGTTATATTAGCTGTCAATTACTCAAGGCTGTCAGATGAAAGGGAGCTTTTGTGACCGCGGGAAATGCAAACAGCTAAAGTTTAAGAAAGACACAAAGAAAAGTACACAGGTTTGCAAACCCACCTAAAGTTACAAATTATGTCGCCGATAAAAGCGATAATGTGAATGAATGTTGATCCGTCAGCTGAGATAGTGTTTTCGGATAGAGTGCTGAAAGACTCGGAGTGGATCAGCTCTATAATGGCCCGAATCTCGATACGTTGCATTCACTGCGTGTTTGGCGCAAATGGCCGCTAAATGTAAAATCTAACACTGTATACGTTATCGCCAAAGAAGATCGCCTTTACTGAGTTTAAACTAAAATTGCGGTAGTCATCGTGAGAATCCTCCCCGCCCCGCTTGGGCAGGATTTTACTCGCCTGCTTTTTTCCACCAAACACAGAAAAATGTAAATTGGCGCAAACCCTAACCAAAACGTTCAATGAGTGGCAGAAGTGAGAGTTTTCATTCCTTTTTTTATTTGTTCTTTCTTGAGATGCATATTATTATTCTCTTTAGTTACTGATGGCTGCTTTGCAGATTTCAGCATTGCATTGAATAATTTATTATAACCTTATGTTTATGTTTTGTAGCAGAAATATTCTTTGTTTATTAAATTGACATGCATATATTTTATAGCAGATAACTTGCATTCAAGCACATTCAAGGCAGCATGATAATGAGAAATGTAATTCATTGTTAGTATTACTGTCATCATTATTCAATCATTCACTCATTTTCTTGTCGGCTTAGTCCCTTTATTAATCCGGGGTCACCACCGCCGAATGAACCGCTAATTATCCAGCACATTTTTACACAGCGGATGCCCTTCCAGCCGCAACTCATCTCTGGGAAACGTTCACACACACACACACACACACACTCATACACTATGGACAATTTAGTCTACCCAGTTCGCCTATACCGCGTGTCTTTGGTCTGTGGGGGAAACCGGAGGAAGCCCATGCAAACACAGGGAGAACATGCAATCTCCACACAGAAATGCTAACTGACCCAGCCGAGGCTCGAACCTGCAACCCAGCGACCTTCTTGCTGTGAGGCAACAGCACTACCTACTGCGCCACTGCGTCGCCCATTGTCATCATTTACATTTTTATAATTATTAGACATTCATTTTGGAATTTGTGTGAGCTGCATGCACAATAAAGAATTTCACATCACATTTACTGGACACATAAAAAAGCAAATTATGGCTCACATTCACCGAAGCAGCTCTCTTGGCACTATATGAGCAGTGGAAATCCTCACAGGTCAAATGTGACATTTAAAGCTGAAAAGATCTTTCAAGGATTTGGGAGAAGAAAGAAACAGGCTGTTGGAGAATTATGGCAGGATGGTGGAGGAACAGGAACGATTAAACAACCCATATCTCTGTCAGAATACTGTCCGCGAGAGATGAAGCAAATCAGACTCTATTTAACATTTAGTGTCAGGAACTTTAAAGTGTTTTCATCTCAATGTTAGAGGGTTAGAATAACAGCAGATCTGTTTGCTTCACTTAGTGGTTAAATGTTCCTGCAGGAGATTTTCAGGTTATTAACTGAAGAAGATGGAGATTAAAGCATTGCATCGTGGTAAATATTTTGATCTACGAATCCTTCAGAATTTAGCTGATTTTGTTTCACTGAAGCATGAGAGTTCGGTGAAGTAACACTATCTTTTCTGTGGGTATTTTAGAGAAGAAATACTTTATGACTTCCCCTGTACCACATTGTTTATTCTAACAAACAATATTCAGTGTCTATGATTCTGCTTTCTCTGCTTTAATAACTGTTCAGAGTTGCATATCAGGTAAGACTCCTGGCATTCTTCTAGAGTATTTTGTGTCATGTGCTGATCGGCCTCTCAGGAGTTTTTGGCCATTATCAACAACCTGAGCTGAATCGGTCCTCGTCTTCCATTGTCTTCCATAACCAATAAACAAATAAAGAAAACAGTACTTTAGATTTTTAGTTTTTTATTTATTATTTCCTTATAATTGTATTGTAGTAATATGCCAGACTGTTTATGTAACTTATTTAGGGTTATTGGATGCTGTAGCTTATTTCCGGTATTCATTCATTAAGTCACTTGTTCATTTTCCTTCATCTTAGTCCCTGATTTATTAGGTACACCTTACTTGTACTAGGTTGGACCCCTTTTGCCTTCAGAACTGTCTTAATCCTTCGTGGCATAGATTCAACAAGGTACTGGAAATATTCCTCAGAGATGTTGGTCTATATTGACATGATAGTATCTAGGCATGGGACGATAACCGTTTTCAAGGTGTACCGCGGTTTGGATAAGTCAAGGTTTTCAAACCACCAAAATTTTCTATAATACTGTTCCTAAGGTATGTGTAATATTTTTTTACTCACATTTTTTGCCGTTTTTTAGGACAACAGTATCTCCAGCAGAAAAAAATATCCAAAGATGCCATTTTAAATTGTAATGAAATCTGTGTTTTTGAAACAAATGAAGACAGCAGAAGCCAATGATTCATTTGAATTATTTAGCCTGACATTTGTTGCTCCAAAATATTTTTTAAATAAATATATTGTGTTTAAAGAAGAAAAACGTTTTAGTTTTTACCCAGACAGTTTAAAAGAATATATTTTAGAGCAGTAATCATAATACTGTGATACTTTTATCCAAGGTTATCATACCACCAGAATATTATACTTGCCCATACTTAATAAAATCATGCGGTTGCTGCAGATTTGTCGGCTGCACATCCATGATGCAAATCTTCCATTCCGCCACATCCCGAAGTAGCTCTATTGGATTGAGTTCTGGTGACTGTGGAGGTCATTTGAGTACTGTGAACTCATGTTCGAAAAAAACTAGTCTGAGATGATTCGTGCTTTATGACATGGCGCAGTATCCTCCTGGAAGTAGCCATCAGAAGATGGTACATTGTAGTCATAAAGGGATGAACATGGTCAGCAACAAAACTTAGGTAGGCTGTGGCATTGACACAATGCTCAGTTGGTAAAAATAGGCCCAAAGTGTGCCAAAAAATAACCCCCACACTATTACACCACCACCAGCAGCCTGAACTGTTGATATAAGGCAAGATGGATCCATGTTTTCATATTGTTGATGCCAAATTCTGACCCTACCATCTTTGCAGCAGAAATCATCAGACCAGGCAACATTTTTCCAATCTTCTATTGTCCAATTTTGGTGAGCCTGTGTGAATTGTAACCTCAGTTTTCTGTTCTTGGCTGACAGAAGTGGCACCTGGTGTGATCTTCTGCTGCTGTAGCCCATCCGCCTAAAGGTTGGATGTGTTGTGTGTTCAGAGATGCTCTTCTGCATACCTCGGTTGCAACCAGTGGTTATTTGAGTTGCTGTTGCCTTTCTATCAGCTCTTACCAGACTGGTCATTCTCCTTTGACCTCTAGCATCAACAAGGCATTTTCAACCACATAACTTCTGCTAACTGGATATTTTCTCTTTTGCCAGCCTTCTCTGTAAACCCTAGAGATGGTTGTGCGTGAAACTCCCAGTAGATCAGCAGTTTCTGAAATACTCAGAGCGGCCTGTCTGGCACCAACAACCATGCCATGTTCAAAGTCACTTTTAATCCCATTTCTGATGCTGGGTTTGAACTGCAGCAGATTGTCTTGACCATGTCTACATGCCTAAATGATTTGTTGCCATGTGATTAGTTGATCAGAAATTTGTTAGACAGGTGTACCTAATAAAGTGGTTTATATTATATTATGTTATATTATATAATTATGTTAAAAATTAGTTTAAAATTATTTTTAACTGTGAAATTATATTACAATTTATTGATTAATGCTGATGGAGATTTTAACTATAATAGTAGTAAAGTATAAAGTTTACATTTTATATTTTTATGCCAACATGTATAAGGACAATCGGATCAAGAAAACCAATAAATAAATCACTAATAAAATTAAATGAATTAAATAGACAGACAGATGTACCTACATGGGTAGTTAATTTTTAAAGAGTAATGTAAGAGAAAATTGACAGTAAAAATGTTAACTTGTGAGGCTTTAATGAACCATTCCTGTTAAAAAAAAATTATTTTGTGTCCACTAGAGGGTAGAGCTGGGTATATTTTCCTTGTGTTTAGCCTCAATTGACATCATTGTCATATGTACATACTTGTTGGTTTGCTAGATTTTTTTTTTGTTTGTTTTTATCTCACTCTATTTATACAGAATACATTCAGCATGCTGTTCACTTTTATCAGTTCATGTAAAACTACATCTTCGGCATTTTATATTCTGCACAGCATTAGCTAGAAACCATTTTTTTCCCTGTCACTGTCAATTCTGAACACAGCAATAACAATAAAAATAGTTTACTAAATACAAAAAAATGTAGGCAAACATTTATTAGCCCAGGTATAAAAAGTTGAGCTTAGGATCCAGTATAAGCTGCTTTGTGTACATTCAACCTTCCTCAGCGTATTGGATTTAGAGACACAGAGTGTCATTATTTGGCTGCAGGCAGAGTCCAGTTAGTGTTGCATTTGGAAACAGGCCAGTGACGTGTAGGACGCATCAGGTTATTACTGTCAGCACACTTGAAAACGGTAAAGCAACAAGTCACAGATGTGAAGCCTCATTTCAGGACATCCACCGCAAGCAACCCCTGAAATACCTTATAGACACATGCAACAGAGCTTCAGAGTTCCTCTCTCTCTCTCTCTCTCTCTCTCTCTCTCTCTCTCTCTCTCTCTCTCTCTCTCTCTCTCTATCAAAGGCTGGTTGTTTCAGGCCAGAGTTTAGTTTCAGGGCTTTGGATTCAGAGAATGGCACCAGGAGGCTGGATGGGACGCCACTCTTTGTGGAGCATCTGATGGGATTAAAAGCCTCTCAACTCCTTTTTGGAGGTTTCCGAACAGAATTTCAAGAAACTAGTGAAATATCATGAAGTAACCTCTGAGGAACATGAATTGTTTTTCTGGCTCATTTCTACTTTCCACGATTTAGTGAAGTGAGGCAAAACTAGAAGAGTTGTGATTTCTTTAAGACTTTCATCCAGGACTTGTATGGGGCTACGGTGGACCTTTTTGTTGGTGATATATTGAAGCTCATGTAAAGTTTTGGTGCGAAACTAAATCTGCAAAATCAGTAACAGTTTTGTTCATCAAGTGGCTTCAAGACAGTCACAACATAATGTATCTGAGCAGATGGAGGCCAAGTGGACATGAGATCGAGACGTGAAGTCTTTTAAAGCATTGTTTTTAATTGTATCAATCCTTTAATGTGCCTTTAAAATTGGAAACACTCTACGTGTTTTAACTAAAGTTTCAAAAGCTGACATAAACCTCTCACACAATGAGCAAAGATCTTCGTTTTCCCAGGAAGGCGATGCAGATGAACTATTCAACAAGGAGACACTCGTGTATTGGGTATGTATTTGCAAAAAACTGATGGAGTTTGTTAAAGTCACTGCTGCAGTAGTCATTTCGATGTGTGTGTAAATCATTTTTCTGGCCAAAAAGTTTTGTGTATGTGTGTGTAACAAATTCCTAGAGGAAACTAGTGCTCCCGTGTCTTAAACCATCTCTTTAAAGCCTTAGTTTATATGGACTATATTTTGACCTTGGTGATATTCTGACAGGTTTTTGGCACTATAAGAGCTTTGTAAAAGTGAATACAACATCTTTGTTTTAAGATTATCATAGCTCTGTTGATAGATGTTTTAGTAAATCTACAGAATGAGATGTTCTCCCTGTGCAGAAATGTTGTTTTTGTACTTCACTGTCCTAACAGGATGTTGTGTTTAAGGAAGGGCTGACGCAAACTAGTGATCTGTTTTAAAACATCACTCTGCGCTTCAGTTGTAACATTTTTATTGATCACGTAATGACCTTAGTGTCACTTTGACAGGTTTTTTTAAAGTGTCCGTTGCATCACATCAATGACCCATGCTGGGAATGTCATTTCTGCATTGTAGATGAGAGCATTTTGTAAAACAGGATTTGCTTTGTGTGTGAGTATGTTGTGCTTTGTCTTGACCGTTTTTTCATCTAAAAAAAAAAGTATTGAAGTCAAAAAGTGGTCTCATCTCCTCTTAAACATCTCTTCAGTTTCAAATTTCATTGAATATATATTGATTTTTTTCTAGAAACTGACAGGTTTTTGCACAAAACCAAACTTTGTGTTCACACAAAGTCAATTTCCCAAGTTGTGAATGTCATTGCTGTGGATGAGTGCTTTTTGTGGAAGAGTGTATTTAGTGTATAGTGTGTATTTTGAAATACCAAAGAATGAGAATTGCAGAATGAATTGCTCTCCATGCTTTTTGTCTAGTTCTCCATGCAGGAGGATTTCATGTTTGAGAAAGAGTTGAAGCAAACTGCGCTCTCTTCACTTTAAACATCTTTTTAATGCCTCTGTTTTGATGAAACAATAACCTTAGTGTAATTTTGAGTGTCCATGTTGCACCATGTCATTGTCCCAAGTTGTGAATGTCAGTTTCAAGAGATTTGCTTTCTGTGCGTATATGTTGTGCTATATTTACTCAGATCTTTTCTGTGTAAGAAAGTTTTGAGGCAAGCCAGTGGTTACATTTCATAAAGTATGTTTTTGAAGTTTACTAATTCATTAATTAAATATTGATATTTAACATAACGATGGTTATTTAAGCTGTGTTGATGAGCACTTTAGTGAGATTTGCTTACTGTGTGAATTGACACATTTTGGTGTAAGAAAATCTTGAAGCAAGCTACCGTTTTGTTCTGCAAGTGGTACTTTTTAGAGGATTTCAGTACTAAATAAGTTTTGTTAAAGTTGTCTGTGTCGCACCACATCATTTGTCCTGCATTGTGAATCTCATTTTTCTACTTGTGACTTTTCTACTTGTTTGCTCCGTGTCTGTATATCTGACAGCCGTGATATGATGAGTGCATGTTCTAGCGGAGAGTTTCTTTGTCTTCCCTGTCCCTCTGAAGACTCTGTTATACATGTTGTGTTAAAGCAGGCCAAGAGCAGCAGTGCAGGCTGTTATGTGATGTGTTGTGTAGCTGTTGTATCTGTGGACAGCCTGAGGCCAGCGGAGGTAGAGAATCGATGACTGTGGATGTTCGTCTGTGACTACTATCCAGCATGTATGGCATTACCCAATAGACATTAGGAGAGAATTCCGCACTTGTACTATGAATCCTGTTTTACATCATGTATTTTGGGGATGGAGATATTTGACAGTTTCCCTAAACTGTATTGAAAATAAACATATGAATTAAGTTATATGGTTGTGATATGGATAGTTCACATGCCTATTTTAAAACATATAATGGCTGATAGGTAGCTATCAACTTGCATTATATGAAGCTGAAAAAACATGTACATGAAGTGAGTTTAAAAGTTTTGGTCTGTAAGATATTTTCTCCTTTATCTTTTGGAAAAATACTTTGATATAGCAATGCTAGAATAAACTGACTAAAAGTGAAATAAATTGTTCAATCGAACTTTGTTCATCAGTGCATCATGGTTTCCACAAATATATCAATTGTATATTATATTAAATTATATTATATTAAATATATTTTATTAGTTACTAAGCTAATTTTAGTTACTAAAATAATTTCTAAAGAATCATGTGACATTGAAATTAGATTTTAAAATATATTTAATATTTTTACCTGTATTTTAAACAAAATGAATACCATTTGTTGAGCTAGAGCCTTTAAAAAAAGTATTTTCTAAAATAAACATTCACAAATATAATTGAAAAATAATCACAAAATAATTGCCATTAAATTATTAATGAAATAATGCACATGAGAGGTGCTGATTCAGTCACTCCGCACTGTTGTCGTTCTTACAATTCAATAGAACTGTACAGCTCCTGTGTGTAGTACTGGATCCTTGCATATCTCATCCGTAGCCTTTTGTTTAATTAGATTTTTGATAGTTGTAGGCTGTGAAAGAACTGAAATCATTTAATGTAATGGAACTGTGAACAATATATTGTTTCAGCACTGATATCGCAATGTGTGCATACGCTATAGTCACATCGCAGGATATGCGATGTTTGGTGCTTTGGATTATAGTTGATCAACATCACAGTTGAGAATGCATGAGATTTGTGTTGTAACTCCAGAGTTAAACTAAAACAGAGATAAACAGATAAATAAAAGTCATTGCATATCCTTTGCATGTGTTTAATATTGATTAAGATTGAAGCATTCAGGCACAAAATAGTACATTTGAAACTTTTATTAACAATAATTCTTCCTAATAATGTATTGACTTTATTGTATTAATAATTATTTTACATTTTACATTACATTTTAATGTAATGTGGTTAAATCTGCCTGGAAAATTACTGCATACCTTGAATGTTTATCTGACAATAAGAATCAAGCATTCAACAGACCCGTCATATAAAATACAAGAAAAATTGGGTGTTATGAAAAAAGATACATTTTTTTTAGATTATTGTTTTGTAATATTTAGGCCAACTAGAAATCAAATGATCGTTTAACTGTAATTTATCTTAAATATTTTATCCTCTGCCATTAAAAAAGCCAAATGTATTGTTCAATACCAATGAGATATTGTGCATCCATAGTTATAGACAGTGAGTCATCTGACCAATATATTCATTAACTTTATCTGTAATGTGAAAGTAGATTAATTTGAGGCTCTTTAAAACACTGCAACGCTTCAATCTATGTATGGCTCTCTAAAGAACCTGTCACAACTCCGCACAGCATATCACAGTGTTACCCTGTTTACAAGAGGCTTTTCACTCAGAGACAACACTCTTACTCTCCACGTGACTGACACAAAGCTCTGACTTGTTTCCTAGATGGATCTCGCCACAATAGCCATTTAAAGCACAGAAAACACTGCAGTAGAACATCAGCATCAAAACAGACAACTGGAGAGTTACCTCATAGTTTCTTCATTTTCTACCACAATGATAGGTGACGTGTAAAATACGTTGAAAGAATCTTACTGATTTTTTTTGTTGTTGTTTATAGTCATTGAAAAATTTCTTAATTTGTGCATATTTTTAATAATTTGTATAATATCATCGTTTCAAACTGAAAGAAAATGACTTTTGCTGTTTGGTCAAACTACTTTGTTGAAAAAGCACAATTCTTAAAGCTTTTTTAGAATAAATTAGTTTTATTTTCAATCCAAAAATAGTTAAAATTATTATAATTTATTTTCAATCCCTAAATTTGTAAAAATTAATGGGCTCTATTTTGACGGTCCATGCGCAAAACGAAAAGTGCAGGGCGCAAACGCTTTCAGGGCGTGTCAGAATCCATATTTGCTAATTTAAGGACAGGAAAATCCGCATTGCACCGTGGCGCATGGTCTAAAAGGGTTGAGTTTATTTTCTTAATGAGTTATAGGTGTGTTTTGAGAATAAACCAATCAGAGTCCCATCTCCCATTACCTTTAAGAGCCAGCTGTGTTGCACCATAAGCGCATTTGCTATTTACAAAGTAAGTGGAAGGGGAAAAACTGAACATTTCACAAGCAAACAGTTAACAGTTGTTGTTTTTTTTTTTTTACAGAAAACGGTTAAACAGAGCATCTACCGCGCAAGAATGAGAGAGAATCGATCTACTTTCACTTTCGCTCTTGGATAGGGAAACCTTTACGCACAGACATCAATTGGTCTATAAATAATTAATTTCGTTTGTTAAGCGCAAATATTTGTTTCAAAACTATTTCTAAATTCAGTTCTAATTTCTAGCAAACGAATAAATGAAATATAATAACGAAGTGTTCAAAAACCTGAGTTATATCCTAAAACACATGCTGTGCCCCATAAGGATTAAAACCTGCTGGTGGGCAAATCTAAGCTTGTTTTTAATAAAACAAATATAAATATGGATATAATAAATAATACTGCTAATAATAATAACATTATACGAAAGCAAATTGTTATGAATGAACTGAAAAAGCCTCCCAAGATGAAGGCATAAAAGCAGTGGTTTCTCATATTTGTGTAGGCTAGAAAAGAATAAGTTTTGTAATATTTTAATCCTTTATATTTATATCCTATATATATTCTTATTATATCCTATATATAGGCTTATCCTTGATATTTAAATTTTTTCATATTAAGATATTTGCGTATTGCTCTACATCTTGTGTGTAGGCTATTAAGAAGTGTGTAAGCGAGGCGCAACTCTGCGCTGGAGTTTAGACCGGGTTTGTTTTGGTCTAATGAAAAATCTATTATAGTTTCTCAATATAGCAACGCGACAGCAGTGCGTCTCAGAACGCCTTCCTTTTTAGACCAGAAAGCCTATGGGTGCACATATGAGCGCAAATGCATTTGCTATTTAAAGAGCATGGCGCAACGCCTCAAAACCACTCTTGCGCCAAGCTAAAACTAACAAACAAGTATTGCGCCGCGCCTTGCGCCACATTGCGCCAG